CAGCCACCCTCCCTCTTGTCTGCTCTCCTCCCTCCATCTACTCCCCAGCTCTTCACAAACTTCCCTCCGTCAGCACAACCCTTTATTTTCTCTCACTACAACGGTGGCAATAGCGGGGTTGTCACCCTGACAGTTCCCTCTGCTGCACCGACCCTGCTGCTAACACACTTTCCAAAAGGCAGGAAGGCCCGTCTCTGACCCAGAGGCTGATGGGCTCCGACAGCAGTGTGTTCTGGGATTACAGTCCCTGAAAAGGGGGGCATTCCAGCATTGCTGGCTTTTGTGACAGCCCTGCCACTGTTTGTTTTTGACAAGACAGCTGTTCAAAGCCCTCCCGACCCCGATGTAATAGTGTGAAGCAAAGAGAACCCAGAGATGACTTCCGTTTATTGGTTGGTGTCTGTTTCCAGCTTGACCTTGAGGTCCGTTTTTGCACTTATATTTATTCAACGTTTCGGTCAGACTCTCGCATATCACCAGAATCCCTTCACGCCTGACACGAGTGGGGTAACATTAAGATAAGGAACACCTTGCCAAACATGCGATTGTATTGTTATTTACACGGGAACAGATTGCTAAACCAAACCAGCGTACTGGGCACAGGCCAAGATACCCATGGAGTGAGCAAGGCCCTGGTCTGAGAAGAACCGAAATAGTTTATATCCAGATCTTTGTGCTAATTAAATACGCACATATCTAATTAAATGGAATGCAAAGGACATGTAAACAGAGATATAATATGACTGTGAAGACTCAATAAGGCAACATAACAGATTTCCAAAAAACTAAATAAAAAACAATCCTCAGACCAAGATACAAAATGTTCTTGATCTGACTAAAAAGTCTAGGAAATGCTAACAAAAGGACACACCATAACCAAAATATGGCACAAGATGACTTTAAAAACCTAGTCTAAACAACAAATATGACCCAAAACAACTAAAGTGTAAAACAAATGGCCATGACGAAGTTGCAAAGACAAATGACAAGCATAAAAAAAAACCTGATAGACCCTATAAAACAATGGAAAATAACCTTTAAAAAATCATAGTGACAAACTCAGTATAAATGAAAGAAAAAACCTACGTGGGGCATTTGTTGCTTCAGGACTTTGTGTTTTTCCTGTGTGAGACATGCAATGAGGCTCTCAGGTGCCCATAAGCACAGCCTGCTCATGTAATTTCATATCCCCACAAAAATATTTGTTCCTTATTTACAAGTTGAACATGCTTCCTTCCTTGGTCTTCCGAAACTCCGATGTTTTGCGAGCATACTGTGTTAATGATACTGCTGGTGATCCTGAGGTGGTCCCTCCATCCATCTTATGTACTTCTGTCTGTAAATCGCATGTTCCAGAGAAGACACAACTATCACAAAAATGCTTATTACTTCAGACATGCAGCACCCTCCCTGGATAGTTGGTACCCCCATCTTTTCCTCTGTATCGCCCCCATACAGACTTATATGTGTTGTAAGAAGACTGAACTGTAATTAGCAAGTCACCCTAATGAGTGCTTGTTGCGCCTGTAAGAGCAGCTGTTCCAACAGGAGGAATGATAATGAATGGACACCTAAACATAAGCACATGAGTTACACGTAGCAACACAGATGGTTCACAATGCAGCCAGTAAACACACATCATTACATAGTAATAAATGGTAATAGTAATGGTAATTAAAACAAAAACTCGTACAAAAAGGGTACTGCACATCACTATACAGGGCAGGATATTTTAAACCCTCCATGCAGTACATTTTAGGGCCTCTGATTTGACTAAAAACTGCAGGATCTGAGCAAGATCTCAGATTATTCTTTTTTAAATTATGTTTTAATAGTGTGTTTTCATTTTGAAATTTAACTGTTTTTGTTTCTTATTTTGCTATGAAAATTCTAATCTGACATTTGTTACACAAATATACAATAATGATGACTAATAGTGGAACTGTCAGCTGTTGCTCATAAATCCCCTCTCTGATATACAGCATCACCTTGTGGCGCTTTTGACTTCTTGCTTCACTGAACACAAACTACCTACAGTGAGTCTGAGAGTCCACTACTAAAAGTTTTTATTAGGCATGTGGGTTTGATTACAATACATTACATGGTGTAAATATACAGTTTTGTCATTTTTTTCTCTCAAAAATGTAAAAGTGGCTTGTCTACTGGTAAATGTAACCTTGTTTAAAAAAAACCTGACAATATCATTGCAGTAGTGACAAAATTCTTTCATGTTGAAATTCTTCATAGTGTACAATAATTCATAAAGTCTCATTCAGTACTGGAGGAGTGGTCTGATCACCGACACATTTATGTGAAGCTAGAGTAAGTACAGAGGGAAAAATATGAAAAAGGTGAACCATCTCAGGCTGAGACATACGAGTGGAGACAGAATCAACATAGCACAGTCACAGAGAGTGTTCTACTCTACTGCGCATAGATATTACATGTAAGGCAAACATGAGCAGAGTGAGGTTGGATGCTTTTGTTGTGTTTAGATACATTTGTAGTGAGATGTTTGGCAACCCCAGGCAGACCTGACAAATGGATCAGGCGCATTCCACAGAAAAGCCAAACAAAGAAACATAAAGATAACATCCAGTTTTGTCCACTTACATAATCAATACCAAATAAGATCAATTCAATAGCAAATCTTTTTAATAAAGAGAAAACAAACAATCAACAAAAGAGAGGCTCAGAAAATGTAATTATTTGGGGGTTGAAGAAGGCCAGCGTGGAGAATCAAGTGAGGATGACCTGTTGGAGGTTTTAGTCTCAGATAAGACGAGTCCTAGCATGAGGCCTATTTGAGCTTTTTGATCTGTTGGTTTGTGTTGTCGATCTTCAGGTCCATTTTGTCCACTTTATTGAGAAGAGAATCGATTGAATCGTCCTGGACCTCAATCTCAGACTGGAGCCCAAGTCCAAGATTCTTCAATCTTTTTAAGCCATCACACATCTCATCTAAGTAAACAAAAAATATTTGACACTCATTTAGAAGGGAAATAACAAGCAATAAATACTTAACACGGGAGATTCCTTTTACTAATGACAGCAAATGTGGTACACTGCCATTTTAGGTCCTCCAATGAATATTTTCAATATTCATACAACTATTCTACAATAATTGTAGAATATTTTACGATATTCTACAACTCTACAATAATTAAACAGCAATAATTGCAGTAAATTACATTATAGTGTACAGACTTACAAAATCTGTAGTCTATTGAAATGCTGGAGTTAATGGGGTCACTGAAATTGACCATTGGATTAGATTACATAAAACCATTCCAAATAATCTAGTAGGGGGCAAAGGTTTTAAAAATAGATTAAAAAAAAAAAGATTTTTAAAATTTTATTTACCCAAATTATTGTCAAGAGTCTGGTGAGCCTCCTTGAGGTGTCTGTTTTGAGGGTATCCATTCTGTCTGGATGAACTGTCATCCATTGACGCAGTAGCTCCAAAACCTAAAACAGAATCAACACAGGGATGGTGGCGGCCACTTTTTCGCATTATCGATCGTGATGATGTTTCTGTGCTGAACCTTACCTCCTGTGTCCAACTTTCTCAGGTTGGGGTGGCTTGCTTGGTACTTATCTTCATTTTCTCTGCTGGTGGACAAGGCACTCTGCAATCTGTGACAGAGACAAAAGGAAAAACTGAGACAAGGAAATACTGCAATATAAATACAGAAAGCCTCACATGAAGCCAAATGGCTTCAAAATGTCGTGCAGTAGCATATACAACATGCAGCCATGTTTACCGACTCAAAGAACAAAACAAAACGAACAACTGTATTCAGCTTGTGAAAAAAAAAAAAAATGGTCCTGAAAATAGTTAGTTATCTTATATGCAATCATTTGCAGCATTTTAGGGCATTTCAATAGATTCCACAACGATGTCTGAGTAAGGTGTCAAAAACAAATCATATTTTAAAAGTTAGAAATGATTACACACTTTACTCACTCTACTAAATTGGTAAGATGCTTAATTCTAGTAATTTTTTCATGTGTTTCAACCCTAATAATTTGAACAAAAAACATTTCGAAAGAACAGAAAGACTTAAAAAATAAGCAGCGGAGGAAAACACGTCCACATGCCTCTCATTGCCTGTGTAGGCACTGGTCGGCTGCTCAGGTTCTGGCTTCGTCTCTGGTTTGCCTTTGAAGTAATTGACAAGTCCGCCCCAGACACTCTTGATACTGTTAATATGCTTCTGGCTGGTCTTCAGATCCTGATCCATGTTGTCCAACATCTTGTCGGTCCTCTTTAGAACCTCGCCCTGCCGTACCAGTTCCTACACACACAAATACACAAAAAAGAGCGACTGAATGAAGATAGAAGGCTGGGCTTTAAGAATTGCTGGCTGTCTCCCTTTCAGAGACAGTGTCAGCTCCTCAGCGCTACATACCTCGGCAGTTTCTACACCCATCTTCTCTGATTCATAGATGAGGCCGATGGAACGGTAACTGCTGTCCACAGCAGACTTAGCTGTGCGCATCACCTCCTGTTGGAGGTATCGCTGCCTCCTCTCTGCTTCAGTCATCCCACTTTCACTGGGGTCATCGTCAAAACCCCTATTTTTATTAGGCTTAAAATCTTCCTCATCATCATCATCTGCAAAGGGGTTGTGGGATTTTGGGTAGGCCATCTGCGAAGCAAACTAATTGTTATGACAGAATAATATTTTCAAAAAGCTATCAGGTCAGTCTAAAGACAAAAATAAAACTAAAAGGATTGACAATCTTCATTCCTTTTATATGCTTAAGATTTTCTTTTTCTGGACAAAAATAAAAAAATATAGCAGAAATCACTGGAAAGTTGAAAGTGCAAGAACAGACAAACAAAAACAAGAACAAAAACTGATACTGTGTGGCGTGACTGATAGGTTTTAGACGTGTCATAGATTGTTCAGCTTATATAAAACGATACGGATTCAAAAGTACATGACAGTTCTGAAAATACCGTTTGGTTTGTAAAGCAACGCGGAGATACGTTGCTATGTTGAACGAAATTAACCTATAAATACCGGAGCAAATTATATGTTTGCTTTATGACTGACGTCTTCAACCAGTTCTACTCAAGTGACTTTTAATTGATGGATATAGTCAAAAAGTTAAGACCTAAGACATGCCACAGTGACGGATGTATTATATGAAAAAGAAACCATTCTCAATATTGTTCTATAAGTATTTCATGGGTGTTGGCTAGCCAGCTACAAACTAGCTTTTCAAGACAGACTTGCTAGCCAAACTACCGCAACCAGGTGACAGCAGCGCAGTGCCAACAGGTACATTTCTCCACACAGAACGGCATATGCCTATAAAATCAAACCGCAAAAATGGCAAATGGTAAATTAAACAGACGTACCTTTGACCGTCGCTACAGCAAACGTCGTCGCTCTGTCAGCTGACCGCTAGCTGATCTACACTTCCTGTCATTTTCGATGACGTTGCTACATGCTTTCCCAGCACAGCTGCACTCTGCGTAACAAAAACTCACACACATAATTGTTATTATGAGCGCTTAAATATGATAGTTTACACAAGTGTTAATGGCTATTCCTCTTCATTTAAGTTAATCCCACTTTAAAATGTGTTTGAAAAACAGTTGGTATGTTTACAAATGTAAGCGCAAGCCCTGGCTGGTGTTGTCCCTTCAGGGCTGCCGTACTGCGGCTTTCCCAGCGCTAGTTGCCGCTGCTCCACTGGCTCCTCTGCCCACTGAATTCATTTCGCTTTCTTGATGTAGGGGTAAACATGTCTGTAATGGGAGGTGGTACGAGAGGGTTTTATTTCAACACAGTTCTGTCACTGGCCCGCTCTTTAGCTGCCCACCGTCCCGCGCCGGTCGAAAAGGTGAGGAACGGGCAAAAACCTAGTTATGTCCATTTAACGAATGCACACTAGTTGTTTAAGTTAGCGACGACAACCTGCGGGGCTGTTCAGGGTGTTGCTACGCTTCCGCACAGGCGGCGGCTCTTTTTAGATGGCATACGTGACACACAAGATAATAATTCACGGTTAGGCTTCTGGGTCAATAGTGGGGAGTATCTAGAGTTGGGTCTCTGTCACGGTGTTTGATTATTTTTGGCGGAAGAAAGTGCCGCGGGGGAGAGCGGCGTCGCTGGCTGTGAGGTGCCTGGTACCGCATCAGGCAGGCGGGGAGGGCAGCAGCTGCTGCGGCCAAACAGGTTTACGGAGGAATGGTTGAGAGGAGTTCATCATGCGTCCATTAACCTGTTGCAGCTGGACGATGATTAACAAGCACCCGACAGAGGATGCCATTCTCCATCAAAGAGGGATAAGGGAGTTAAAAAAAGAAGAAGTCGCACCTACATTTGGTTGAGTTAGAAATACTGGAATGATAAATAACACTGCTTTGAGAGGAAAGTGTTATTTTATGTATAATATTAGCAGTGTGTTCCCCAGTTCCAGTGTGTGTCTTTCAATGTAGTGGATGACAGTGAGAATATGTTTGTAAGAAATAAAATGTTGGCTTTCTACCAAAACAAAGTGAATAGAAAGAGATTATGTGTGGCGTTTTCCCCAAAAACTTTACCCGAGAAGAGTCTTACTGGCTCAGATTTGATATTTATTGGTCAGAACGTGCATGAAAAGCTTTGTTTTTCCTGACACAAAGCAAATTGTGGATCTTGGAGGAAAGAATAAAACATAAAAGCTGGAAACAGAGTTCAAAGAAGTTTAAAATGATTTTTTTTTTAAAAGAAAGGGATCAAAAAAGCATTCATAAAACAAAAGGATTCTGGATAAGATAGATAAAACATTAAGATACATCTTGATAACATATTGTGTTGTGTTTATCCTCTCTAAGGTTAAGAAATTACAATGCATGTGTCCTGTGGAAGTCCGGGGCGTATTCACTTTGGATGTGCGACGCAGAGATGCTGTCATTGCACTGGCCGTATTTCTGGTGGAATCTGGCTTACAAGTGGGTGGTGGAAATGAAACAGCTGAGCTCTTAAGCCATCTTAAAAAACAGTGGTCTTATTTAATTTCAGTCTGTAGTTGTAAATAAAAGACAATTTGTTCCATTTTTGATTGTAAATACTCATCTCAGGTCATTACATCATTACTTTGCTATGATGTTGCTGTAATTTTCTCCTGTTACCATTACACAACTGCAGTTGTAGCTTATTTTCTAACGTGACTCAGGAATCCACATATTGTATATGCCATCATAAGCTTATGTCTGTAATCTGATTTAGACAGTGATTAGAAATGCAGAAGACCATGTAAGCTGTTAACCTTGTCATGCCGAGACGGCGTGAACAGCTTCCCACTGACTGTGTAGACATGACGGCTTTCCTTTACTACACTCATTTAAAGATATATGTTTTTTTAATGCAGGTTTGACATTGTCATAGTGAATAATTCGTAATAGTTGTAAGTGCTCACTTGGGAAATAAATGTTCTGCCAGTTATACAATAAATAATGATTTGTTTCACTCTGGCAGCACAAAGACATACTTGTTTCCTACTTGCTGAGCTTATTGAGAGGGCTGCCACGGGTCCAATGGATCGAAGAAAGCTCGGGAAAGAAGGGAAAGGGTAAGACAAATCCTCTTAGGTGGGGGCTCTTAGATTTTACGCTAACCTTTACTTACACATGCTGGAAGTGCATGAGTTAGCTCTGTCAGTAAACTGCAGTTTCAAATACCATTAAGATACTGTCATACTTTTCATATGATGCTCACTTGTGTCAATAAGCTGTATTTATACTGGCCAGATGTTACATCAGAACCAGAAACTACGAGCTGTAGTTTTTTTTTTCATTCCGCTCGTAAATCATGTTGTTCAGATGTTTTAGGTTCATGTATTTTTGTTTTTCTTTGTCCCTCAGAATTTCTCCCAGTTGCAGAAAACTTCAGCTTCTGCCTGGTAACCCTACTTGCCGATGTGGCTCAGAGGGACTCGGACTTCCGACAAGAGGTCTGCTCAGCAATCAGAGTGGTAATAATGTGCCATTATTTAGTTGGGATACATTGAAGGAAATAAATGTATTGTTTCTACTTTTTTCCCACAGATATTGAACACCATGATGGAGGTCATTCAGACATTACAAGAGATGTGCCAAACACCTGATAATCATGACAAAAGTGTGTATGACAGTACAAAAATATAAAAATACAAAGGTGCTGTGTGCCATTTTCCCTCAAAATCAAAAAGTTACTCTTCTGCTCTGTTGTCTGCAGTGTTCCTGTGCAGGTATGTTGTCCCCACTCTGCTCGGGATGACTCGAGCATTTGGCCGCTACAGCCACACAGAAGAAGCCCTGTTGTCCAAGTTGTTTCCCAAGGATTCCCCTCAGGCTCCTTGTGTCACAGAGGAAACGGAGGGTGTGCGCCGCCGGTCATTCAACGACTTTCGATCCATTCTGCCCTCCTCACTGCTCACGGCGTGCCAAAGCGACAGTCTGCGCAGACGCAACGGGAGCAGCACGGATTCCTCTGCACAGGTTTTTTTCTGTTTGTGTGACCGAACTGGCTTCATTCTGTTGGATTAGTTCAAGCATTTTTCTGATGAATGTTATGTGATTAAAGGATTTAAGAAATATTGATGTGATGTCTCGTAGATCTCTTCAGATCCAGCAGGCCACTCACCATGCTCTCCCACAGCACCTGGGCCACATTACTTTGAAGGTAAAAGCTGCTTTGATCAATTCTTGATCACTAAATGAGTTCTGCAGTTCTTCCTATTATCAGGGCTTATAGTTGTTGGCCAACAATATTAGGTAACAACCCGCTATATGCAGAAATGTATCTTTACAACAGAGGAGCTGCTAACATATCTTGTGTACTGTAATACAGTTTTTTGTATTGAATGAAAATGTGATGAATGTTAACCTGTCTTTAAGATGTAGAAGATGCACATTTCTTGGTATTACTAGCTCTAGATGATTAGATTAGTCCCAGTATAACAAAGTAGTGCAAGACTGAAGTCTAAAAATGTGTCTGTGACACATATTTTGTACTGGTTATATATCTTTCTAATAAAAGTGTTAACAAAGCAGCCTTTGGTCAGTTTTTGCTGACCAAACGGGACCTTTTACACACGGTAGGACCCAGTTGTATCTTGTTCCTGTTAACAACTTTTTGTATTTTTTCATTGTGCCCCTGTTTGTCCGTAGGTGCCTATTTTCCGGACAGCAGCACAATAGACCCTGACTACTATTTCTCCACAGTCAGCTCCAGTTTTTCAGTGTCTCCCCTTTTCATGGGAGAGGGCGAAAATGAGGTTGAGGTGCCAGTTGATGTGCTGCGACAGCTCCTCGTCATGGTACACTTGCCAAATTACACATTCTCTGTTGGGTTGCATCTTGTCAGTTTAATTTCCTTACTTTGCCTTTTTTTTTCTATTTACAGGTGAAGAAATTTGTTTCTGAGTCTTTTTTGAAGACTCTAGATGCCACGGTGACAGAGGTCATAGAGGTAATTAAACAACCGCCATCTATTCAGAGCATTGAAATAGCATAAATCCATAATCAGCTCTATGATCCTGTCTGCCATGTCTCTTTTTGTTTGTTGTAAAGTCTAATCCTGGAATCAGCATCTATTACAAAACCTTCAGTGACCCTATCTATGTGTGTGTGTTCAAAATGCTGCGGGACACACTGTACAACATGAAAGGTAAAGTTTGATTATTTATTATGAGTCAAAGCCAAACAGCAAGTTGACCTCTGCTGTCCTGTTTGCTGGTGTTACTTATAGAACTTTGCTAAACTTTTCCAACTCCCCTCTCAGCTTTGCAGCCAACATTTGTACGGGAGGTACACGACTTTGTGCTGGAGCAGTTTAGCAGCAGTCAGTCCGAGCTGCAGCGGGTACTCCACGACACGGGAGGGTTACCGGGGGAACAAAGCCCCCTCAAGCTCCGTTGCCAGGCCAACGCTGCGTGCGTTGACCTCATGGTCTGGGCCGTCAAAGATGAGCAAGGTAATCGATCTTACAGGAGAGTCAGCTTTGCTGCATGTTCAGATGTGATAATCAGAGGGAGGATGGATGGGTATATTTTTATAGATGTTTAATTATTTACCATCTGTTAGGAGCGGAGAATCTGTGCACCAAACTGTCAGAGAAGCTGCAGTCGAAAACATCCAGTAAAGTCATCATTGCACACATGCCGCTGCTCATCTGTTGTCTACAGGTATTAAACTGGAAGATGGAGTGATCATATTTGCCCAGTAAAAGTGAAGAGTAAATCAAAGCACTTGATCAGTCATGATAGAAGAGCTTGTTAGTCATTGTTTTAAAAAAGCCTGCCGTTAATTCTTTTGATATTCATTTAGAATTCTTGGGATTGTCTTCTCCTCCTCAGGGCCTGGGCCGTCTGTGTGAGAGGTTTCCAGTAGTGGCTCACTCTGCCACGACCTCTCTCAGAGATTTCCTGGTGGTTCCTTCTCCTGTTCTTATAAAACTCTACAAGTATCACAACCAGTTCAGCGCAGGTACAAAATACACTCACTGATCACTTCAAATCCACCAGATAACTCAAGCTTACTGCTGTCATGTTTATCACTTTGTTCGAAAACATGACATGGTTAAAAATACGGATATTGTTTTGAGATATGCCAAATAAATGTACATTGATTTTTAGCTTTGAAAGTTTTATGTGCTGTTGGTGTTCACTGAAAGAGCACAGAAATTCAATGACTTAAATGAATTGAATTTTGAAAAATGACATTTTTGTTTACTTTTTTCTACTTAACATATTAAAAAGAATCACATTTTCCACCCAGTCTTTGTACAGCACAGGACAGATGGTCAGATCCAAACATAAACAGTAATGGGACTGACACGATGACACACACAGTGTCAATAACAGAGTCAATATCATGTACCAGTCACATCCATCATTGATCCGAACAGTAACAGATAGAGACAACTGCAATTCAGGTTACTGATATTTCCGGACGGCCAGCAAAAGTGGCTTTGTTCATCTCCTAAATTTAAGGCATGCAGTTTAGATTCGGTGCTAAACTCAATCCTGCTCTGCTTTTTGGATAGTATTTTTGTATGTAGTATTTTGTTCTAACAAACTGTATCCTATTTGTAAATATGTATTTTTGTCACTTTTTTTAAAGTAACGGGAGAAATACGGATAAACGTGACCAACGAGCATTCTCAGTCCACCATCAATGTAATGTCAAACAGAAAGGACCAGCCTTCCATGTACGAGCAGCTCAGAGATATTTCCATTGATAACATCTGCAGGTCAGTTCTAAACCCACCAAACACAGCTGCGATCAGAGGTGCTTTAAAGCCATTTCTTTCTTTATAAAGACTGATTTTGGCCCCTTTGTGGTCCTTTCTCTTTCAGATGTCTGAAAGCTGGTTTGACTATGGACAGTGTGATTGTAGAGGCCTTCCTGGCCAGTCTGTCCAACCGGCTGTACATTTCACAGGAGAATGAGAAGTGAGCGATGTTTCTAGTTAAAAAAATAATAAATTGGGTTGCTGAGTCACCCAGATTATATTGAAATTCAAATGACACAGATGAACAGTTTTAAAAATATAACTTGTTTTCCTGCCAGGGATGCACATCTAATTCCAGATCATACCATTCGAACCCTTGGCCACATTGCAGTGGCTTTGAGAGACACTCCTAAAGTTATGGAGCACATCTTACAGATCCTTCAGCAAAAGTTCTGCCAGCCTCCGTCACAGCTGGATGTACTCATCATTGACCAGCTGGGCTGCATGGTTATTACTGGAAATGTAAGTACAACTGACACCTTTTTTCATTTGTTCTTGTTATACATTGTTTTACTATTCAAATTGAATTAAAATGTTTCTAGAACAAGCAGGGAATTTACTCTAAATTTGCCAGCTAGTGTTTCATTGCCCAGCCCACTGTGCATTAGCCAATAGCTCTCAGCTATCAAACCTCACACCTGGAAGCCTGTAAGTATGAAAGGCTATAGTAAAGCACTGTAAATGGATCAGCCATGCGTATGCTCATTTGATTTTTTCCCCCTGGAATTTCAATATTATAATGTTGCATCAATTATTTTAATTTCTCATTTTGGTGCCTGCTGTCTTTTTTCATGTAACCTTCACAGTGTTTTTTTTCTTGCAGCAATACATCTACCAGGAGGTGTGGAATCTATTCCAGCAGATAAGCGTGAAAGCCAGTTCAGTGGTCTACTCGGCCACCAAAGACTACGGAGATCATGGCTACAGGTCAGCATCTGCCTCTGTTGGTCTGTTTTAATGTACTGTATGAAGGATTAAGAGTTTAAACGTGTTAATCCCTTCCTAATAAGATGTTTAATGAGAAAGATAATCCTTTGTTGTGAAGGACTATTGATTAATTTTTTTAAGGAATTAAAAAAGGATGTTGATATGGGACGTGGTCATTTTGAATTTCAGATAGCATGTGAGGTACAGCGATGTCATGGACTGGCAACTTGTCCAGGGTGTAGCCTGCCTTTTGCCGACTGACAGCAGGAAAGAAAGTGTTCTCTGTAAGAACATAAGCACTGGGAGGTTTCCCACTGCTTGGTTAGCTGCAGTGGCCTCATTAGGCCCCTCTCAGCATTTTTCATCACCTCTTTAAATTTTAAGAGGGCACTTCATTCTCAGTGCACAGTGTTCCCCCAGTGCACGATAAGTTATAGGATGTTCTGTAACTGCGGCGCGAAGCATCCAGCATATCCCACAGACTGATTTGTACTGAATTCAGAGGCCATGTCCAGATCTCTGCCTCAGAGTATTCAGAGCGTTTTTTCCTGCTGAGAGGCCCATGCCATCATCCCCTTTTGATTGTAGATGAAAGAAGAAGAAAGGTTTTTTTCTAAAGTGCACGGGGACTCTATTTGCTTTCTTTTTCTGCATAAGGCACTGTTCTCTGGCTGTGATCAATGCACTAGCCAACATAGCAGCCAACCTGCAGGGGGAGCAGCTGGTGGACGAACTGATGGTGAACCTTTTAGAACTGTTTGTCCAACTGGGCCTGGAGGGGAAAAGAGCCAGCGAGAGGGCCTATGACAAGGGACCTGCGCTGAAGGTACGTGCTTCACTGCACAAACACACAAACACAACATGAAGTTAATGATAGCCATTTTGGTGAAATGTTAATGACTCCTTATCTTCTTTCAGGCATCAAGCAGCGCTGGAAATCTCGGAGTCCTCATTCCAGTGATTGCTGTGGTGAGTGTTTGTGTGCGAACACAGAGTACAGTCCTTACAGACGAATCCAAAGTGTTAGTTAGGTTTTAACTTTATAAACAAATATTTACCCAGTCAGCTGCATTACTGGCAGCATTACCAGTTCCCTGCAGAATGCTTCGGCATTGACACATCCTTTTTTTTGTTAAAGAATATATTTTGAGTAGCATTCACAATTCACCTAACGTACACTGTAAATTGCAAAAATGTGCTCTCTAGTGTTAACCTTTATTGGTTTAGAAGATTTCCACTCCATGTTGTTAGATAAAATAATGTAATCTCTAGCGTGGCAGAAAAGTATGACTGGAATGTAACAAATTTGGGTTTCATTCACAGAAATTCTTTTTTTTTTTATCATAGCCTTATGTATGATTTTATTTCCCCTCATTGACTTTCTCCATATTCATTGTCGGCTATTGAATTAGCAACAGTTACACGATGCCATTTCTGAGCACGCTTTTCATCTAGCCTCGCTGTAGAGATGAAACATTAACAGGCAGATAACAAGCATACAGAAAGTTACTCAGACACTGTGGACAGCACATTGATTAATGTGTAGAAGTTTAAATGTTCAGGAGGAGAACACAGCAAAAACATTCAAAGATGCGGAAAGACTCCTCAGCTAGCCATGAATGTGTCTGATGTTCTGTGAAACAGGACTGGACGTGTAAGCTTTCACTGGTAGTTTAGCTGTTCAGTTTTGAGACGGGTTGGCCACCCGGCCTATGAACACGAGGCAGTCAGTGCGGTGCTCGTAGATCAGGAAGAGGAAAGGATGATCCACAGTGAAGCGAATCTGAGAGGATAGAGGCATGAAGCCCACTTGGGTCAGGGCAGCAGCTTCCGTTCCTTCTTCATTCACAGTGATGGTTCCCTGGTGCTTCAGCTGCGTATCAGAGCAATGCAACAGCCAGGATTACGGAATGCTTCTAATAAGATACCCACTGAATCCTAAAATGGTTGGGGCATATGACTGATTTAGTGTTACTCACCCAGTTCATGGCAACTTTTTCAGAGGTCATTCTTGTGAAATCTCCACTCTCCTTGAAGATGTCGGTGAGGCCCATCTCCTTCAGGTTTTCAATCAAGTCATAGTTTTGCTCCAGTTTAAAACGAGGAAATGAAACCTCACGAGTCCTGAGGCGAAATATCAAATGCTAAAGCTTTTAAAATGTAGTTAAACCCAGACATCCACATTTCACACCCTTTGGATCATCTCTCTCTTAGGTAACTTAGTCAGGTAAAATAAAATGTTTGTGAATATTTGGAATTTCAAGGACTTTTTTCCATTGATTACTCATAAAATGTGATTGGAACTCCATGGAGGTGAACTCTACTTCAGATAAATAATGTCTGACTAATGGAATGACAAATAGCTCATAGTAGTTGTTTTTAGTCTTTGGAGAACATGTTGAGCAATGATTTACTGTAGACTGGGAAAAATAATGGAAATAAAGGTCTTTCATCATAAAGTCAGAAAAAACTGAAATAGTTTCTTACTCATAAATGAATTAAACAAAGTGGTAAACATAGCAATGCTTAAGCGTTCACAAATAGCTCTTATGACTGTTTACTGCTGTATGTAGGAGGAAATACATCTGACCTGTTTGTCATGTTTTTGAGCCACTTGTTGACAACTGTGGGTGAGAGTTCCTGCTCCAAGGTCCTCATACCTGTGATCTTTCTCGGCAATGCGATGAGCATGCTGATGTTTCCTGTGTATGGGAGCTGAGAATACGGATGTTAGCTGCATAATGGTGCTGCTCAGTGGAATGACAGTGGAATAGTTACTGCTGTTGTCAGTGTCAAGCTCCACCTGCAGGATGTCGCAGTCCAGTTCGTGGTCTGCTGCCGCCAGATAGTTCCCCTTGTTGGTCATCATGGGCACGCGTACATTCGTCTTTTCGCTGACCCGAAAGTTGCGGTAGTAAGTCATCTCTTTTGGGAACTTCTGTTCCCACGTTCCTTTTTATCCCGAAAAATAAGATGGGAGAAAAAACAAAACACCTTAGACTCACAGAAATACATCTCATGACAGTCATGTGTTTCTTTTCCCACTCACCTTTGAAGTACAAGTAGTTGAGTAGCATCAGTACCATATTTGGATCCACACTCTTCAGTGGTTCCTTGATCAACCCTTTGGTCAGTTTTTGTATGCGACGGTTGGCCTTGTCAAGGAACGCAGGCTCCCGGAAGTCCACGGACTGCGGTTCGGCAAAGTAATACGCTTTTGTCTCAGCCCGGAAAGCGTCTTTTACTGCCACGTCCTTCTTGACGTAGACATCGTTGACAGAGCGCAGCGTGTAGCCAAAGTTCCTCCTGAAGAGCCTGTGCGTCAGTTTTCGGAAAAGCTTATGCACAGTGGTGTTGTCATAGTGATGGCTAGCGTTGACGAACTCGGCGAATCCGAGAGCTTTGTAGATCTGATCCTGGGTGTCGGGCCCCGCGCCCAAAGCCATCATCCCCATAGCGATGGAGATCCCCGCAGGCGCCAGAAGGATGTTGTCGGTCTGGTTGACGTCATTCCGAAGACTTCGATAGAGATTGAAGCCGAACCGGGCGTTGACGGTGTTGAGCCGCTGAAGGCGGGATCGACCGTGGAACAGGCGGAGAAGTCGGGCTCGCCGAATCTTTGGGTCAGAGGGTTCAGCGAAGATGTCAATGTCCGGGGCTGGCGTGGCAATATCATCTATCTCATCCCCCTCACTGAAAAAACAGCCATTAATTAATCATCTAACCTTTAGAAATGGTAGAGGCAGGTTATGCTTTTTGTAAATGGGAGCTTTTACGCACTTGATCCCACTGATTTTTGGTAGTGTGAAATTCATTGTATGAAAAAAAAGTAGCAGAAAGAAAGCTGCCCTCTATCATTAGGTTAAGATTGTTTGGTTTTTTACTTATGTACTAAAACTTACATATAATCATCACCGCCAGCAGCCAGGATCTTATCAAAATCAATGTAATCTTCATCCTCAAAGCCATCAAACACTAGGTCGTTTGTGACGGTGTTGTCTTTGTGAAACTCCAGAGGAATGGCTTCCACATCCACTGCAGCATCTGGTTCTAACCCTCGGGGCTTTGGGTCACTGAAGTGAGTGCTGAGCTCTTTGATGCCAGCCATGGATGGACTGGCCAGCAGACAGGCCACAGAAATGACAGTGATGACCCACATCTTAAAGGCAGAGTCAAAATAAGTAGACGATCAGAACAATTCATTCAATTATCTTTTTACCATTTAGCAGATGATGGATATAAGTTCTAATAAAGCTATACAGTCCAAAATATGACAACTTTGTCCTGGAGGTAGCCGTCAGTGAAATGTCTTACCTTTACGGTGTGCTGGAGGTAAGTGCTGTGCTGCTTCTGTTTGTAGGACTAAGACTACAAAACTGAACTTTGATGTGGGTTTCTCTTGAACAAATAGACCAGATCAAACAGTCCAAAAAGTCCCCTGATTGACTAGAATGTTTAACTCTTCACAATTCAGCTCCAATCATATATAATGTCATATCCATCCACAGTTCAAATCATAACTTCATCATAAAAACTAAATTCTGCTGCATTTATAAGTAAATCTTTAGTTTAATGATGTCCAAGATATTTGTAAAAGAATTAAGCTACATATGTTCAAATGAACGACCTCTTCATCCTCTCTTAATCGTCGGTTTTGATATTTAATATTTTCCTAAACATTTGACACCCTTTTTCATTGTTTTTAACTTGCAGTTAACTCGGCGGCTTCCACCGATCAAAGAGGCTAAGCCCCGCCTCCAGAAGCTCTTCAGAGACTTCTGGTTGTACTCTGTGGTCATGGGCTTTGCTGTGGAAGGATCAGGTGAGCGAGAGAATGTTGGTGGTTCTCCTGTTTTTAAAAGGGTTATGTGCCCCTGCTCTATAATAAAAAGTTATTTAACACTGGTATTAAAGGTCACTACCGACAGTTTGAGTTCTCAACACCACACCAGTGTTTCTTGGCAAGTGGAAATAATACAAAACGTACAAGTTTTAAGTTAGATAAAGAGATATTTACAGGATCTTCAGTTAAAATGAAACAGCCAAATATAGAGTTAAGCATACAGTCAGTAGCTGCTTCTAGGTTCAAATCTCAAGAGTACTAACTGATGCATTCTTTGTACATTGTCTTCAGGGCTTTGGCCAGAGGAGTGGTATGAAGGTGTTTGTGAGATTGCTACCAAATCTCCTCTCCTCACCTTCCCGAGTGGGGAACCACTTCGTTCTGAACTACAATACAACTCGGCTCTGAAAAACGACACAGTGACACCGGTGCTGTGTTTTTTTCTGATTCTTAATATAACATTAATAACATCCTGAAATGGAAGCCACAAGTCTTACTGCAACTACATGTGGTCAATTTCTACGTTCCAGGCCGAGTTGAGTGAACTGCGAGCAACCATCAGCAATCTCCTTGACCCCCCACCGGAAGGATCAGCCCTCATTAATAAGCTGGACTTTGCCATGTCAACTTACCTGCTCTCAGTCTACAGATTAGAATACATGAGGTCAGCTCCCCATCCATCTTCTATATCCAAAGATTTCTTAATTAATGGAGCAGCTCTTTGACAGTTCTGTTTGGTTCATTCTCTGTTAGGATGCTGCGATCTAATGATCCCGACAGGTTCCAGGTCATGTTTCGATACTTCGAGGACAAAGCCATCCAGAAAGACAAATCCGGTGAGTCTGTGCTTTATGCCTGAGCCACTTCAGCTGTCCTGATCCTCAAAGTTATGCTCCCTGTCTCACCTTCCATTTTGATGCTCACAGGCATGCTGCAGTGCATCATTTGTGTCGGTGACAAGGTATTTGATGTCTTCCTCCAGATGATGGCTGAGAAGGTAGGCAACATGGTTTATTTGGGGTTATTAAAAAGCCTGAGGATTTTAGTGAGTACAGTTTTCTCTGTCCACTAGCAGAGGATAAACGTTGTATCTGTATTTCTAATCGATTTAAAAAGAATAATAAATACTTCTTTTTTTTTTTTTTTTTAGGCAAAAACCAAAGGGCACGAAGAAGAATTGGAGCGCCACGCTCAGTTCTTGTTGATTAACTTTAACCACACCCACAAGAGGATCCGTAGAGTAGCAGACAAATACCTTTCTGGTTTGGCTGAGACGTTAGTTGCATTCGATTTATCAGATTGACTTCCCTCCGTTTCTTAATCACTTTTTATGTGAAATCTTACCTCCTTCTCCCTTAACCAGATTCCCCCATCTGCTTTGGAGTGGTCGAGTGTTGAAGACAATGTTAGATATTTTGCAGACACTCTCTCTGTCTCTGAGTGCTGTAAGTATGAGGGGATTGAACCCTACATCACTAAGCTATTGCTCTCAGTCTCTATAATGTGTAAAATACAACCCAGAATTCAAATGAAAGAATTTTAAGATGAAATGTGATTTATCTACTTCAGCTGCCAAAAGTATCGTTTATTTTTTATTTTTTAGGACATTCACAAGGACCAGCCATACTACGACATTCCAGACACCCCATACAGGATCACAGTTCCTGACACGTATGAAGCTCGAGAGGTAAGTTTGGACCCGTAAGTTTTAACAGGAGAGCCACCAGAGGGCACTGTAACATCAGTTTTCCACAAGTTTAACTCAATTTCCTTGATGCTTTTACTAAATTATTTTCTAGCACAAAATCCATTAAGAACCTGTATGACATTTTATTGAAACCGTAAGGTAGATTTATTTTTATTAATGCATGTTAGATGTGATAAAAATCAAGACGCATGAGCCAACATTGTTGCAGCCTTTTATTAAAAGTTGTATTTAACTCAAAATAGATGTCTAGTCCTTCAGCTTTTAAGGAAGTGAAAGCTCTATATATGTGGGTGTTTGCAGAGCATAGTGAAGGATTTTGCTGCTCGCTGTGGGGAGATCCTGAAAGAGGCAATGAAATGGGCCCCTTCTGTCACAAAGTCCCACCTACAGGTCTGTTTCTTTATTTTTAAGTTTCACAAACAGCAAGCACAGATTTCTTGCAAGTAATGAATTTCGTTTGATGGTACCTTTTGTTATTGTTTCATTAAGTTAAAGTTTATGTGAAAATAAACGAGCAACCTTCATTCTTAACAGATTAAGAATGTCCCTTCTTTTAATGTTTTTACTTTTAATGTCAATGCAGGAGTACCTGAACAAGCATCAGAACTGGGTGTCAGGGTTGTCCCAGCACACTGGCCTGGCCATGGCCACGGAGAGCATACTGCACTTTGCAGGCTACAACAGGCAGAGCACAACACTAGGCGTGAGTCACAGATGCACATTCATGCATGTCTGCACATAATCCTCCTCAGAGAAACCACTTACCGACCCTTTAGATGTTAGATTTACTCCAGATTAAGGATGATTGAAATAGAGACACAAGCAGTGTGCAGTGTTACCAAAAATATGTTTCTTTTTGGTTGTAAGGGCACTCACTACTTGTCTTTTGAGATTTTTAGAAGTTATACTTCTTGAAAAATTATGACTGGAGCATGTGTTTATAGCAGGAGTATAACGCACACCTTGAAACTAAAAGTCATCTACCAGTGGCCCACCTGGTTTGCTGATTGGGTGCTCATTAACATTTGTCCTAAATGATGGCTTTTTAACCATATTAATGTAGCTGCTTTGTTAAAGCCTTTGCAGTTTTAGCAGAAGTGTCTTGTTACTTTAATACTTGTTTTATTCGTCATGAATTCTGCAAAGTTTCCCAGTAAACAATTGGAATTAATCTAGTTGTTTACGGTACTGTTTCTTTATGTGTGCTTGCTTTCAAGTCTGTGTGATATTATTTTGCCTGCCTTGCATTTATATGTTCTTGGCCTTGCACTCTGCTATATCTGTCTTTTCATTTGCTTCATTTGTTATATTTTGTCTTTAATAAACTGCATCGAACTACCTACCTGGTTGCTTGGCTGGTTTACGGATTTGCTGGTTACCTGGTTACTTACCGGCAATGGACGGGTGGGTTGGTTGGCTGGTTGTCCATTTGGCTAACTGGTTATGCTGATGCTGTCCTCCACCATACGGCCAACCATAGGCTGCTTTCCCTCAGGTTGGTCTCTACACTAAATACAGAGACAGGGCTCAGGCATAATACTTTATAATATATCTTACTTTCCTGGCTTGTGATTGTTTGGAACACATGAAACTCAAATAGTGTTTTTTCATTAGACCACCCAGCTGACAGAGAGACCAGAATGTGTGAAGAAAGACTATTCTAACTTCATGGCGTCACTCAACTTAAGGAACAGATACACAGGGGAGGTAAAGTTGACCTTGATCAATTTATTGTCTTTAAAACTTTTAGTTCACAGTCTGATTCACCCATCTGTTGATGTGTTGTTCAGGTGGCTGGCATGATCCAGTTCTCAGAGGCCACTCACAGCCAGTCAGACCTGAAACAGTTGATGATCCATCAAATGACCAGCGCTCTTGGCAGGAAAGACCCAGAGGCCTTCACCCAAGTTATGTTCAAGATGGCCGCCCTGCTTATAACAACCAAAAGTAAAACCGCCAGCCACAAACAATCTGATAGCTAATGATTATAAAGCATCTTGCAAGTTTCTTTATTTCGAAATTCTCAAAACTGGAAATGTTTCCTCTCTTTTTCAGACTGTGATCCTCAGCTGCTGCACCATCTGTGTTGGTCTCCACTGAAGATGTTTACAGAGCATGGCATGGAAACTGCAATTGCCTGCTGGGAATGGCTCCTGGCTGCACACAATGGGGTGGAAGTGCCAGTGTGTACTTTTCTTAAAGTTATATTATGATATCTGAATGGACAATATCATTTAATGTAATACATACTGCAAGATAGATTAATACTTACCTCCCTGTTCTTTCCTTTCAGTTCATGCGTGAGATGGCTGGAGCTTGGCAGATGACAGTAGAGCTGAAGATGGGTTTATTTTCAGAAACTCAGGTTGAAGCTGGTCCTCTTGCTGTTTCAGAGGAAAGTCAGCCTGCACCCTGTGCCCCCGATGTTATCCCTCACTTCCTCTGGATAGAGGTCTGTGATAGTATTGTTTCTTTGAAGCTGTTTAAAGCTGGATACAGAGATCATATGACTTGATGTCAGCAAACTGCAGAGATTATGGTCATGCTTTGAAACCTGTAAGATATATGTTGCAGTATTGATCATTGAAATGATTTGCTATTATTCTAAAATATAAATAAGACAATCGTTTTAAGAATTTATGTATCAGAACTGTGTCATTGGGACTTATTTGATCGGGACCAAACACCCTCTTGATTTTATCTATGAAAGTCTGTGCTTTTTTTTTTGTGCTCATATTTTATATTAATTCAAATAGATTTCAAGTTATATGTCTTTAGAAAATAATTTGAAAGCAACTTTCCAAAGGAGTTGCCATGTGTTGAAAGTTGTAAAAAGACAAATCATCAGTGAGAACATTCTCAAATCAGGTACAGCCTGAACTGATGAGTCATTTCAGGAAAAAGCGGCTCTTTTCAAACATCTGCCAAGATGCTTAGGGTCAACCGTGTATTTTTCTGAATGCCCACTGTTGCCAAAAAGTAAAACTCATCCCTGTAATGCTTTGTCCTTCTCTTCCTCCAGTTCCTTGTGCAGCGGTTTGAGATAGCTAAGTACAGCAGTGCAGACCAGGTGGAAATTTTCACCACCATTTTGCAAAGATCTCTGTCTCTGAGTGTTGGAGGATCTAAAAGCAGCCTCAACCGACACGTTGCTGCTATTGGACCAAGATTCCGGTATAATTTCTTTTCATTATGTTCTTACTGGTTAAATATTGTAATAAACAGCAGTACGAAGTGCCAATTCTTTAGCTAACACACGGTGCTGTCACCTTTACATTCACTCAGGCTCCTTACCCTGGGTCTGACTCTGCTACATGCTGACGTGGTGACAAACGCCACCATAAGAAATGTGCTGCGAGAGAAGATCTATTCAACAGCCTTCGACTACTTCAGGTGGAGAAAAATCCAATCTGTTTTTGTTTGCCGAAAAGCATTCTGTTTTCAATTCAGTTTAAAGTAGTTTTTCTGTGCACTGACATGTTTGCCCGACATTTTTCTGTGTAGTGTCGCTCCCAAGTTCCCCACTCAGGCAGACAAGAGGCTGAGAGAGGACATCAGTATAATCATCAAGTTCTATGCCAGCTTGCAATCTGACAAGAAGTATCTAACAGCCACCCAGCTCGTTCCCCCAGGTAGAACATGCAGAAAAAATCTGTTAAGGTGTCCATGAGGAATCATAAAACATTTCTATTTTGTTAAATGATATTTTTATTTGTCTAGATCCCCAAGACATGTCAGTGAACAGCTTGTCTGTAATGGCGGTGGCAGACAGCCGCAACAGTCTGGATGCAGCGGTGGGCCAGAGGCAGCAGGTTGCACAGGGATGGATAAACACCTACCCTCTTTCCTCTGGAATGTCCACCATATCCAAGAAATCAGGTAAAACATGCAGTATTACAATCACTGTAGCTGATTTGGACCATTTATTGTAAAGCTGGATCATTTTAGCATGATGCAAATCTGTGGTTGTCTCATGTATTGCCTTTGTGCTGTTTTAGGGCTCTCAAAGAAAAGCAACAGAGGCTCCCAGCTTCACAAATACTACATGAAACGCAGGACGCTGCTACTGGCTTTACTGGTATTCACCTTTTTTATACAACTCCTCATTCACAAACAAGTGGCCCACAGAGGAACAACAGGGAGGACTAAGTTTCGTTGTGCTAGTTGTGCTAATCCCGTGATTCCTTTTTTCTTTCTTTCAGGCCAGCGAGATTGAGCGCCTGACAACGTGGTATAACCCACTGTCCACTCCAGAGCTCGCCATTGCCACAGAGCAGTCGGTGGAGACCAGCATTGCTAACTGGCGATCCAAATACATCAGCCTGACAGAAAAACAGTGGAAGGACAATGTGAACCTGGCGTGGACCATAGCGCCATACCTCGCCCTGCAGCTGCCTGCCAGGTATACACGCACACACACAGAAAAATGTATTATTTCACATTCACATTAAGAAATAAGAAAATTGATCCACAATTACAAAAAAAATGAGCAACTTTATCAACTCAGTCAATTAATGCCTACAGCATAGTTAATCTTTCAATCTATAATAGCTGCATTGTACATGTTAAATTAGTCATGTAGCCATTTTCTTTCATTTTTATTCACCAAAAAATCAACCATTCACAGACTCTTGGAGAGTGTCACTGATGTGTATTTTCAGTTCTTACTTGGAGCATGCACTAACTTAGTTTTGGATTTGTCTTTCAGATTTAAAAACACTGAGTCTATAGTCTCTGAGGTGACTCGTCTTGTGCGAATGGATCCAGCTGCTGTCTGTGACGTTCCTGAGGCGGTCAAGGTGAGGTCATCCGCTTGATGCTACATACCCATCACTTCTTTTGTCTCTGAGATATGCATAATGGGATTTCTGCAGGCACAGATAAGTCCCAGATTGAAACCATCAGCAAAATAAACAACTGAAAGCTTTAATCTTTTAAAGTTGAGGTTTTATTGCAGTAAATAATCGGCATAATCGATCTGCCTTCTAATCACTCTTTTATTCTTTTCTATTTGACCTGTGTGCAATTCTGTGATATTTAGAGCCTTAAACTGTCTGCATGCCTGAATTTTTAGCCTATTGAACCATCACATCTAGTCACACCAATAGATTTATACCTTTAGTCATTTACATCCATTTACGGCAGCATTTTAGAATTTTCTTTAACAATTGTGACAGGTCTGTTCAGCCAATGACATCACAACCCGTGCTGCTTAGTAAAGTTGGAGCCAAAAAATAATCAGAAAAGTAGTTTGCTACCTGTACTATTGTTTAAGTATTTTGTCGTGGAAGTTTCATCAAGCCTTTTCAGTTTAGTGCTGCCTGATTGAGCTCTTAATGAGCCCCATACCTGCCTAAGGAAGAGGCGAGGGAGACGGAGCCCGGCCGTCCCTAAAGAGCACGCTAACTTAGCAGATAATCCGCTTTGACATCTTCCACTTGTTTATCCTACTCACGTTTGCGACTCATAAACACAGAGTCCTCTTGAGGCTAGTTAGCGCAGAACAGCAGCCTTCACAGCCGATTCTGTCATGTATCCTGCACATTAAGAACGTGTCATGCCACTGATATCAATTTCAGCTAAGTTTATTCCTTCTATAAAACTTTTTTGCCCTTTTTTTCCTTCAGTTCCTGGTGACATGGCATACAATCGATGCTGACTCTCCAGAGCTGAGTCATATTCTCAGCTGGGCCCCGGCAGACCCCCCAACTGGACTATCCTACTTCTCCTCAATGTACCCTCCTCACCCCCTCACTGCCCAGTATGGGGTCAAAGTGCTGCGCTCCTTTCCTCCTGTAAGCACACGTACATGCAACATTTGAACAATGAATATTGTCATTTTTCAGAAGAATATTTTTTTCGCAGCCCTTGAAAATAATTTTGACTTGCTTACATTTTGTTTTATGGTTAAGAAAGAACGTGTTTTTTGTTATTGTTGTTGGAAAAACCTTGTTTCTGATGTTTCCAGGACGCTATTTTATTTTACATTCCTCAAATCGTCCAAGCTCTTCGTTATGACAAAGTAAGTCCTATTGCCTGAGAGGTTGAGGACACTTTCTCAATCCTCTAAATGACTTTGATTTGAGTGTCCCCCTGTTCATCCTGTTGTAGATGGGCTATGTGAGGGAGTACATCCTGTGGGCCGCGCAGAAGTCTCAACTGCTGGCTCACCAGTTTATCTGGAACATGAAGACCAACATATACCTGGACGAGGAAGCACACCAGAAAGACCGTAAGATACGACTTTCTCTGTTCGAATCTACAAGTGTGCACCAACAACGCAACGCGGGGAATTCCAGAACAACGATCTTATGTAACTTTCCCCTCAGCTGACATTGGAGAGCTGCTGGAAGAGATGGTGGAAGAGATCACTGGCTCTCTCTCTGGACCAGCCAAAGACTTCTACCAGAGAGAGTTTGACTTCTTTAATAAGATTACCAATGTCTCAGCCATAATCAAGTAAGTTGTTTTTAAAAAAGCTTTTCAAAAGCATCTTAATCTCCCTTTGCTGTATGCAAATTCCTCTACTTTCTTAAAGTATGTTTTATTAACTGATCCTGTTAATAAAATAAAGTTTCAATCTAAATTGTTAAACTGAAATGAATATTTAAAAGGATCTGAATAAATTAGTTTCCTTTTAGTCCTTAAAAGTGTGGCTTCAGTTGAACAAAGCCCTCCAGTCAATAACCAAGGTGGTAATGAAGTGATTAAGTTTTCCCAAGATGCTTTGTTCCTCTCCCTGCTGCCTCTGGTCTGCTCTCTGAATCCCATTGTTGTTCATTAATTTAACTACTGTTGCTCCTCTGTCACTTTGATTATGCAGTGCTTTGGAAAACTATGCCGCGTTGCCTCTGAGGACGTGTCCACCCATGTGATCCCTTTGCAGCTGTTTTTGTACCGAAAATGTTTTGTAAACCCGCAAGAGGGTGACAAATTCCCCTTGGCCTGCATCCCAGCAGTAATTACAGCAAACAGGGAACAAACCTCTCGTGTACCCTGGCTTCCTGCCTTTATTACTCCCAGTGATTCTTCTCTGTGACCAACAGCAGAGCCCGAATGTCAGTTATGATCTGAAGTCATTCGGCAGGAGGCACAGATGCTAGCGTGTCTGTTGTTTTTGTTTTTCAGGCCATTTCCCAAAGGGGAGGAGAGGAAGAGGGCCTGTCTGGAAGCCATGTCACAGATCAAAGTCCAGCCAGGCTGTTATCTTCCCAGTAACCCAGAAGCCATAGTTTTGGATATAGACTACAAATCTGGGACTCCCATGCAGAGGTGGGCCTCAAACCTTAAGAATAGAATGAAAAGCTACAATGAATAAACGCAAGCTTAACTAAAATGTACCTTTTTCATTTTTTCACATCTCCTTAGTGCTGCCAAAGCTCCATACTTGGCCAAATTCAAAGTTAAGAGGTGTGGAGTCAGTGAGTTGGAAAAAGAAGGTACTGTTAGTTATATAGATCCTCCTCAAATATGATAAATTATATTCCCTTTCTTTTTGTAATAATTTATATCCATTTCCAATATGGGGAACCTCAGTAAATTAAACTCTTCAGAATGTTGTGTGCTTCTTGGCCTCTTCCCCTCAGGTCTGCTGTGCCGCTCAGACTCTATGGACGAGGAAAAAAGTGAAGAAGAGGCCAAGAGAATCTGCTGGCAGGCAGCCATTTTTAAAGTTGGAGATGACTGCAGACAGGTCCCAACATCACACACCTGTTCATTCGCTTCCCACTTCATCATGATTCTTCGATCTGTTTTAAAGACCCCGTCTTTACCGTTTTGTTTGTTGTTTTTACAGGACATGCTGGCTCTTCAGATTATCAGTCTATTCAAGAACATTTTCCAGCTGGTGGACCTGGATCTTTACGTCTTTCCTTACAGAGTGGTGGCAACAGCTCCTGGAGTAAGTTAAACTAATACTGAACCAGTTCCTCCACTGGGCTAACAACCACAACACCAACATCTGATCAAGTCTGGGCCCTCTTTTAGTTATTCCTGTACACAGCCTGCCCAAACATAACCCGTCTCAACCGAAACAAAGTGTGTCACGTCTCAGATCTTTTGACTAGTTTGGCCCCCAAAAAGTCTCCAACAAACCTCACCTCACAAGACTAAAGGTCCCCTCACTCGTTATTTTTCCTCTGTTCCACCAGTGTGGAGTGATTGAGTGCATCCCAGACTGTAAGTCTCGTGACCAACTGGGGCGCCAGACAGACTTTGGCATGTACGACTACTTCCGGAACCAGTATGGAGATGAATCCACACTCACGTTTCAGAAGGTAAATCCCTCAAACCACATCCTCACGCAGCCTTTCCGCATTTTTCCATCAAAGATGAGGCCGTACTTATCCACGTAAAGATCAATGTTTAATCTGACATTCCCAACGTTTGTTCACAGGCGCGGTACAACTTTATCCGCAGCATGGCAGCGTACAGCCTGCTGCTCTTTCTGCTTCAAATAAAGGACAGACACAATGGCAACATCATGCTGGACAGCCAGGGCCACCTCATCCACATCGGTGCGTATCCTAATATTAGATATTGAATATACTAGATCAGTGTTTTTCAACCTTTTTTGAGCCAAGATACATTTTTTCATAGGAAAAATCTCGAGGCACACCACCAACCAAAAATGTTAAACAAATCTGAAGCCGCCTATAGTAACACTATAGTTATTCTTATTTTATTCTTATCTTATCTTAAGTGTCTTGAATAGGAATCAAATAAACACAAAAATGTATTTTTATCATATTTTATATTTTTTCTTTCAAATTGCTCTTAACATGTCCACTTCAATATACAAAATTATATACAAAATCTAGTCATAAGGAATTATTACATGATTACTCCACCAGTCACTAGAAAAGCACAGACACTCAAAAATGGCATATTATTTGCAGATAATTAATTCCTTATCAAAAAATCTTTTTAGACCAATTAGGTGAAATAGGATGATTTTCTACGGCACACCTGACGATAACTCGCGGCACACTAGTGTACCGAGGAGCAGGGGTTGAAAAACACTGTACTAGATGACATGTTTTACACTTATTACACGTTTATTTTGGATTCCTACCAGAAATGTTAAAGCTAATCATATTTTAGAATCACAGACCTTTAGTTTGTCTGAAACAATAAAATAAAAACTAAACAATAGTATCAGAGCATTGAGAGCAGAGGACAGCTATTTAAAGCAGTCCTCTAGAATGTCTCTGATCCATGGTACTGCTGCAACTTCAACAAACTTAAACTATCGTGTGTTTTTTTCTTGTCTTTTACAGACTTCGGCTTCATGTTTGAAAGCTCACCCGGTGGGAACCTCGGCTGGGAGCCAGATATCAAGCTCACTGATGAGATGGTGATGATCATGGGCGGGAAGATGGAGGCCACCCCATTCAAGTGGTTCATGGAGATGTGCGTTAGGGGATACCTGGCAGTGAGGTGAGAATGGAAAGATACTAAAATAAGCTATTAGCTGTGAAAGTATGCTAATAATTCGCCTTGTTTCTTTGGCTATTCAGGCCCTACATGGATGCCGTGGTCTCCTTAGTTAACCTCATGCTGGACACCGGCCTTCCCTGCTTCAGAGGACAAACTATCAAATTCCTCAAGTGGGTCACATGTTTCTTTTGCTGAGCAGATAAGCAGCCTGATGCCGTTACCTGTCGTCACCCTTTGTTTATTTTTCCTCCCCGTCCAGGCAGCGGTTCAACCCGGGTCTGAGTGAGAAAGACGCTGCTTCCTTCATCATCAAAGTCATTCAGAACTGTTTCCTTAGCAACAGGTTAGTGCATTGCATTTTTTTTCAAAATGTGTTTTTTCTTTGAAAACTATTTTCTGATTGCATTTGTTTTTGTTTTGTTTTAACAGGAGTAGAACCTACGACATGATCCAATATTACCAAAATCAGATTCCATACTAAACGTCTGTGCCTGAGCATGTGCATTTGTTGGCTGGTACATGGTGTGAATGTCTAAGATTTTGTTGTCTTTGTTAAATTTGTTTCTGGACATTGTGACCGCTGTTTTGGCAGATTTTTCAATATTGTCCCCTGTGTTTGCTTTAGCTTTTTGTTTCCTCGCTGAATTTTTTTCCTTTGCGTTACGTGCCAGTTCACTTATTTATTATGTTAATGCTGAAATCAATGTTCTTTTTAATTATTATATTATTGCACTAGCATCTTGACTTTTGCTTATGTGGAGGAATAAGTCTGGGTAATCTGCACGTTCAGTTTGTGCCAATTATTAAAAATGTTTGTGAATGTGGACTGGTGATTTTTAGATGGTCTGAAATATTGTGGATACTTGAAGTAGCTGAAGTAGACTGGTTTCAGTTCTGACCGATGTGGCCTATTCTGTCATTCTGTACTTGACTCTGCTGCTGTGCTTTTGTCATTGATTGACCAGTCCGAGTCCTTCGATCTGTGGGGTGGTACTTAGTTTTTTGAACAGTGAGATTTGACTGGATGGACTTGTGTTCGAATGTCTGTATCTCGGGTTTTACGTGTTCCCAGTTTCAATAGGAGGAACGATGCACGCTGGGGCTGAGCTTTGCGTGTCAAGTCTTGCCAAAAGGGGGGAAAGAATCATTCACTGGACTGTTCTGTTTCTTAAGGAAGAAGTTAATCAAAGTGTAAATGTGGGGCAGTTGCATGAAGTTAGGTGTTAACTACCATGTAGCTTGTGTCCGATGTGGCTTTTGGTGAAAATATCTTGAGTGATCCAAAGTGCTGTGTCCCATGTCCATAAGCCTTCACGTTACTGGTTGTAAAGATTTTGCCTCTATTTGTATATTTATAGTCATGATCCATTTTCTGTATCTTTTCTATCTTCATGCCTTTTTGAATGACAATGCATATGATATGAACCAAAATAAAGTCCTATTAACTTAACCCTGTTTGTTCCCATTATTTCCTCATAAGATATCTTAAAGTGTTAGGTCTGTCAAAATGTGTTGGAAATAAAAGAGCAGTTTAGCTGATTATGATTGTCTTTTAGCAAGGCTGAAGTCTTTAAACCCTAAAGGTTATTTAAAATACAAATTATTTAAAATACAAATGTATAAAAATCTTTTTAAATAATTCTGGAACATATTACAACTAACTAAGCTGGAAACTTCTCAAGAATATAAGTGATCTTAAAACAGCATCCCAAGAATTTAAGTGATTTAAAAAAAAAAAAAAAAAGGCAATAATTTAAAATGTAAAATTTCTCATCTTACATTTCCAAAGAATTTTGGAGGTTGTCACTTTATTTTTAAGTGACAAGGCTGACAATCAATGCTGAATGGACATAATCTTCAACCCCGCAATCTAAAGTCTTTACCACTATGGGTCCACCGTGGGAATGACCGCAATTCTCCAAGATTATTACTGATAACTTATGGCAGTCAGTACATTTAAATGTAGCTATGGAAATAAAAAAACATAAGAAACAGCCTTGTCTTCTTCTTCTTGTTCTTCTCAGTGAGCAGTAACTGTCCTATAGCCTGAGGAGTGTGCACAGAATAAAACCAGCATCTGTATCACATGGTACATGGAACTCATGCATAAGGGCCCTTTACTCACATGAGTTCTGATCTTGGTAACTCCTTCTACTCGCCAATAGTGAGATGATAATATTCTGTCTGTAAGATTAATCGAAAAAACTTAGTGTGCCCACTTTTGTCCTGAGTTTTATTTTTCACGTGCCATTCGCTTAAGAAACGCTCCCAATTACGCTCAAACAGTTCTGTTTATGTTATAAAAACCTCCAGCAGAGGGCAGCATGTGATGAAATATTCAGTGTTCAAGCTCATGGATGGCTTGCATTTGGCATTTTGAAAACATGCACCTCATAAGTAGGGTGAAGCTAAATAACACTAGGTGGTATTCACCCTAACATTTTGTAAAATGAGCAAATGAGTGGGTGCGATCAAATGGAAATGTCAGAGGAAACTTGAAAATGAGCCAAGACTGTTTTTTTTCTTCGAGGCAGTGAGAGTGACATTACCTGGGTCTTGAAATATTTACAGACTTTGGCTTTGAAGAACTTGTTTTCTGACAGATGCACGACTTTAAAAGAGGGTGACATGTATTTGCATGTTTGTCCTGCTGTGAGCATGGACCTGGATACATTCCTGTGGGAAATAATCTGGCAAAACAGGTTATTGGAAGGTAAAAGAAGAGCAATGAAACAAAGCCTTGTCTTGAAATACAGCATGCTAATCTAATTTCATGCTAAATCTGTACTATTTTTAGTAGAACAGTCATTTAGCAAGCATTAATAAGAGCAAGATCTGTGAGTTTGGGGTATTTGGGGTGCAAGCTGTAGGATGCATCTGCAGAGGAGAATGAACGCCCCTCAGGAGACTGTCGGTATGGGACTAAGAGAGTGAGAGCAGGCGAGGAAAGATAAACAATATTTCCCATGACAGCACTGAGTTCCTCTTGTTTTTTTGCAACTGATTTACCAGCTGTTTCGATTAAAAGTCTGCATATGTAATTTAAGGCATGTATGCTGACTGTCACATGTCGAAAAACACCATGATGTATTTTTGATGAGATAAGACCTGCAAGTATATCAGATGCTCACACAAGTTTACTGCTCTACTCCCAAAGTTTTAAACTTATAATGCACTTGTACGCATACAGTATACAGGACACACTCACTGGTTTTAGGCCTGGACATTAGGTCTGAGTACTACAGCCAAAAGTGAGAAAAAAAAAAAAAAAGACTCCACGTAGAGTTGAGGTGAGCTGGGCTGGCCTCACAAATCCCTCAAAGTCTTCCTTTTACGTTCTTTTGTTCAAACATTGCTCCATGTGTCCGTACTCATCACATGCATCAAACTGCAGGTCATCTTGTGACACATTCATGCCTCTTGTGCCGTGGAGGCCGAGGCTCAGGATGCCAGCCATGTGCTACGCAATAATGAACTCCTCCCTGAACTGTTCCAGCCATTAAAGCAGTAAAGAGAGGGGCTGAGCAGAAAGGGCTGCTTGTCCAGAAGACCAGGGCAGACAGTCAGGCCTATTGATGAGGTGCTGGAGCTAATCAGGAATATACACTGCTGTGCCCTGAATAGCAGTGTGTGGATGCGGGGTTTGTTTTTAGAAGTAAAAGGGAAGTTATTGCGACACAAAAGTCAGACGGTTGCTTTCAGCGTTTCCTTAATACTTGTGCATCTTTTTCGTGTTTCCATATGATTGGAGGTTCCAGAGGATTTGTGTCTTATATGAACTTTAGTTCAAATGTAGATTCCTGCTACCTGCTCAATAGAGCCGTTTGTTGTTCTATGTCATGTGACTGTAAAAATGTGTCTGAAATATAAGTTGACTGCTGAATGGTCATGCTGCATGCCAAACTTAGTGAAAAAGGTTAAAGCACTCCATTTCTGAGGCCTTTCCTGGCTGGATTTTTAATAAGTCAAACATCAAATTCACATTTTTGCAATGATAAGAGTCACACATACACATGTATGTTAAAAAAAGACCTATAAACATGAAATAAGGACTAAAAAACTGTAAAATAATTGTACTTTTTTATTGTTGGGGGATAGTTTAGTATTATGAAGGGCTACATGATCATCCCTACCTAAATGGAGACTTAGTGCAATTTGAACATGAAACATGATTTTGTGGATGTCTGAAGGGAAAAACAGGACATGTTGTGATTGTAAATATGCAAAACCATGCAATCAATGTTAATGATCAGACTCCTCTAAATTTTTTGTTCAACAGCATGATTGTTGTTGTTCGTATGTGTGTGTGTGTGTGTGTGTGTGTGTGTGTGCGTGTAACTCCACTCCAGTCAAACAACCAAAACACAACCCATCTCACTTATTGGTGACACTTTGTCTGGCTCAGCTGCGTTTTGTGTGTAGCTGAAGGGCAGCTGTTGCGTCAACCTCTCCTCTGCACTGTTGATCATTTGTGTTATCTGATGTTGTAATGACTTAAGGGATGGATCTGACAACACCAGGGCACTTTTTACCTCGAAGCCACAGAGTGCTAGTTAACACACAGTGAGAGTTTAACCCAAAAAACTAACCAAAAGTAGATATAGGCCATACATTCACTCGTAAGATTAAATGAATCCTAATGATGTGTGTGGGTACATTCAATGCAAAATATGGTCTTTGCATGACAAATAAGTGTTTTTAAAATCCCCTCTGTTGAAAGAATAGACTCCCAGTACTCACTGAGGGGCTTGTCAAGACACACTAGGACCAAAACTCTCCCTCTTTCCCTTTCTCTGTGCCTTTTTCCTCTGTTTCTTGATGCCCACATGTTACTCACTATTGGTCGTGCTGCTGAATAGGCCCCAGTGTTCGCCCTCTCCTTATCGTGTGACCTTTGATCTGTTTGGACAGCGTGACCAACAGAGGGCTGCAAGGGGAAGACAGTCAAGGGAGAAAAGCCGGAGGAAATCCGGAACATTTCGGTTGTGTAGGTTGTGGATACAAATCTAGCCTGTTTCTCATCTTGGAAAGAAAAATCAACCCTGTTGGTTTGTAAGACTGTGACCGTAACAGTGTTTTTCCAGATTGTTCTGACCTCAGAAACATTGGCTCATAAATCTAAGTTTCTCCTTGGACTTTTATAGAGGAGAGGAATGTTGCACCTACACAGCCAATAGTTAGTCCATCAAGAAACATTTCAGATCAACACATTTTTTCTCCCAAAGCTCTGTTTATGTGGGACAACATGGCCGCATTTGTTTGCTTTCAGCAAAAGTCGCTGTATTTAGGGATTAGAAAACCTTTTTCCCTGCTGTCCTCATACCAACCTTTTACCTCTTACCTTTTTGTACCCACTCTAACTGATTTCGACACACCGTGCGTTTGTTAGGAAAAGCAGACTGACTCCAGTAAAAGGTGCCAGTGCCGCAATGCAAAAGTAAATAATAAACAGGCTATTGTTAGTGAAAAAGTTGTACTTAAAGAAATATTTTCTGTCAGAGAACACAAGTGTTCAGTTCAACATGTTAAAGCCAACATACCAACTTCATCTCAACATGATAGGAAAGCATCAATGTGTGATGAAGATGGTTTGAACTACTTTAGATTCCATTTTACATACAGGGACACCTACTTAATATGGCTCAGCTACAAAGGTCTGTTTTCAATTGTCTTCCTAAATTTAAGTTTGTAGTGAAGTTTTGAGGTAATTGTTTGACAAAAACCCTAATATGTTTTTGTTTTTGTTTGGTAGACCAATTAATTATAAACTGCTGTTTGAATGATAACAGATGCATTAAAAGGCAGGAAGCCCCTGCTTTAGTCTTAGCATATTAGCACCTAGTGATTAAAAATTTGAAGTAAAAGTAATGGAAGAAAGAGACAATGTCTGTTGGGAAGTTATAATGTAATGTAAAATGGACGAAATCATGTTGAGGGACCTCAATCACAATCAATCACTGAATTCCTTTTTGTATAGCCTTCTTGAGTTTGTAATGATTCTGTGAATTTCCTATTTGATCATCCAGATCCTTCTAGTTGGATAAGATTAAAGTTAATTCGGTCATCAGTATATCACATTGAAATGGTTGTGGCTTGGATCCTTCTGGAGTTGTTTAAAAAAAAAATAACCGGGTGGTGCCAAGTAGATGTGCCATGCAGTTGTGCGTTTGCCCAGCAGAGGGCTGAGGCAACGCCAGACTGAAGAAGCATCATTTCTTTGAGATAGCAACCTGAACAGGATAAAAGAGCTGTGCTTCCAACGGAGAAGACTCCTCTAAAAGTAAATTGATATTGCCACTTTTTTGGGTCCGGTCCAAGACCAGTTTTCTATATATGGAGAATGCGATGGTTTAGGCAGATATTTGCATTGATTGGCATCAATAAATCCTTACAAGCAAACTGATTTTGGTTAAAAAATAGCAGATTTTTTTTTTTTTGTCCTCCACATCACACTTTGCTTTTCCCCTGTGGGACTAAATTAACCGAACCCTGTCCATGGCAACCAATCAGCAACAAAAAAAAAAAAAGCCTTTGCCACTCTCAAACCATCATGACCGGTGTTGCCGCGGAGACCCATTCAGATGCCCAGTGGCGACCTTTGACCTGAGTGGAGGCTGGTGAATGTAGCTGAAAGGAGGCGTCTGGGCCGGGGCATCTGGGGTATCATCTGGCGCCTAACAAAGACCCTCGCCAGCTGGGGAGGAGGGCAGCAGATCCAGAGAGAGGGAGACCGAGGAAAGGGGGCACGGAGGAGAGGGGAGCAGGAGAGAAAGAGAGAGAGAGTACCCTTTTCTTCTGGCCCTCTTCAGAGAGAGTGGCCATTGACACTGTGCATCTCATTAAAAATCTGCGCGGCACCCCCCACTCTCCCCTCTCTCCCCCTCCCGTCCTCCTCTCCGCTGCACAGAGCCCACGCAGCTGCCTCTCCCTGTTTGGCCATTCAAGCTCAAGTGCAGTCCACGGCAGGATGGGGAGAAAAAAAGGCAGACAGAGAGAAGGCTTGGACTCAGAGGGGCGAAGGGGGGGGGTTGGGGGTTGAAATGGAGGCCTTGGACATATGCCACCACCAGTGTGACGAGTGAGTCTAGTGACTGTTTCCTCCCATAAAACTGTCCCCGGCTTTCTGTTCTAAAACTTTTCCGGGAGCGGATATAAAATGGAGCGGGACGCCGGTGCTCAGAGGAAAAAAACATGTTTTATCCTCTGAAAACACCAGGAGCAGCAAGCACTTCCCTGAGAGATGCAAGTGGGCTCACGAGCGCCACGGAGGCGCCGGACAGCCGGATAAAACATGCAAACAGCTGCCGGGTGGCAACACGCGCAATCACGGGCACCAAACAATGACACGCGCACACAGCCATCAACCTCCCAGAGCCCCTTCTGGTGCCCCCCCCCCCCACAACCCCGGAGGACATGGTGGATGTGCACAGGTCTCTGCGAGGGTCACGGTCACGCGGTGTTTGTGCAGTGTGTGCGCACGTGTTTGTTTTTGTGTGTGCAAAGCCAAGAGAGCACAGCAGGGCTTCTGTCAAAACAGAAAATCTGCAACTTGGGGGTGAGGGGTGGGGGGTGGAAGGTCGGGGGGTCTGTTATAGGCAAGGGGTGATATTACTTATATAATGGGCGCGGCTTACGATAGCGGGCGCTATGCTAATGGCGTGATAACACCGTCAATCCTGAAGAGTGGCACTTTATCTAAGCAGTATTTTACACAATCGTTTCCACATAGACCCATTTCAGGCATGTGGTTGCTCAAGACACGAGCGTGGAGCCAATAGACGGAAAACAACATGCATCACACGTCTGGAGAAATCAGCTTCAACTCCCCCCTCTCTCGCCCGTTCCACTCTTCACAAGCTACTTTGAATTCCTAAATTCAAGGGTACAGCAACGGAGCCCCACTGCCCCCGCCTCCCCGCTCTCTGTCATCTCCACTGATGAATGGGGCTTTGCGTGTGGATTTTAATTACTGCTCCGTGGAGGTGGGAATTGGCCATGCATTAAATTGGAATGAGACACATTTTTCCCCTCAGCAGGGGAGGGAGGAGATTGGAGGGTAAAAGGAGAAATTGGTTACTGTATATTAATTGAACCGTCCACTCACACAAAGTTCTCGCATAATTGTGCAATAGGGGAGCTCGGAGAGGAGAGAAATGCACATTCTCGGGACAAATACCATCGGTCTGTTACCTTGACGGCTAAAAATCTTGAAATGTCTCTCCATAGCTGGAATTCATTTAGCCAATCACTTGGAAGTGGATTAGGCCGTGAATGCCAGCACGGCGGGGCTTTGGCATGGAAGGCAAGGGCATACGCAGCTCTGACGAAGGGCTGTTTATGTCAATTACTTCTGATTAAAAGAGACATTGCATAGGTCAAATTCCATTTTGCATCCCACCAGTGTAGCTTATCAGCATCAAATAAAACTGAGTCGCGCAGACGCACACGCAGAGGAAAGCTGGTATCGCAGGGGTAGTGTTCAGTGGACCAGGCTAATCTAAAAAAGAGCTGGTAGATCGCTCTTCTTTTTCCACTATCCTTTGGAGAGGAGAAGAGCAACCTTTTCGCTTTTCACCACCACAAACAGTGTACAAATCGAATGGGTAGGGTTGTTAGCATAAATGTTAAAGCTCACGGCTAGGGCGCTGAAGTTTAATGGCAGATAGCTAACGAGATGACAGACTACTAACAAGGAGAACAAGTTTGTCTCTCATTAGGCGTCTTCGAGGTGTTCTGTTTCCAGAGAGCAATGACCATGTGAGCTGCCGGACACATCATACCTACCAGATGTGAGGGCTGATTCCAATAAGCCACTGATGGTTGCCATGGCGGTCTGATTGTGGCATCTATTGTACTCTGACATAATGACGTTAATTCGGGTTGAGAAGAAAGACAGAAAAAGAGAGAAAGGAAAGAAACAAAGAAACAAAAACAAAAAAAATGCCGAATTGTTTGGAGCATTCAGTGATTTTGTTCAGCTCGTTTAAGCTTTTAAACATTTTTAACCACTCAAGACTTATCACACTTCTTTTCATTTCAACCTCCAGGCTGAACAGGTCATCCCTTCAACACAGGAGAATGTCCAGCATTTGGTTAAAGCACACATGCAGCAATGTGCCGGATCATTTTTACGCACTTTTCGTTGCTTCAGCATTTTCGTTTTTAACTTTGTTGCTTAATATAAAAGAGTAATTTGTTTTTCTCCTATTCTCCCTCACAGAGCTTGACACAATTACAATGTGTTGTAACATTGTTGTTCAACTGTATGAGTTAGACTTACATGATTGCTTATAGAAGCATTGACAGAGCAGGTCTTCACTCAAAATGATACAAAGTGAAGCGTATTTCCGTATCGAACTATAAACACACTTGTCTGATTCTTTTGAGGGATAGGAGGAACTCCAGATTCAGAATCTCAGAACCACTGATTGGAGATAGAGCTTACATTACTGGTAGATAAGGTGAGACAGAAAAGCCAGTCAGTTGGTCAGACACTGTGGGTAGGAACCTTAACTGAGTCGATTGTAAAAAATGTATAGGGCACATGTCTCAGGTGTCTTTGCCCCACAAAACTGATAGACCAGAGTGCAAACCCAAAGGTTTCTTTAGCCTTTCGCTGATGTCAGCATGTTTAAAGAAGTCCTCTTGTATTGGAAGATGAGAGTGGCCAGCTGACGGTGGTTCTGGTGAAAAAAGGCCTATCACATGATTTGATTGCAGGTTATAAGGGTCAACATATGGTCATCTGTAGTCAGATGACAAGCTGAGCTGCTTTTTGATAACGAGCCAGACGGGCAAAGGACAGGAAAAGCGTGGCCTGACAAACAGCACATGACCCTGACAAAGATCTTTGCCTGTTAGTGCTGGTTTGTTCCCTTTATTCTCTCAGATTCTGGCCGTGTCTTTCGGAGGGCGTCATGCTCAGCTCATGGCGGCGAGCACGTCCCTCCTCTCCGCTTACACTGAATATGCAGACTCTAGAAGTTGATTTTGTTCTCTCACCTTTTACACCAGGTGACCCCGATGGTGAGCAAATTCACCAATGTGTTATTGTATCGTTGTCTATTAAATATTTTTGGATTCAAATGAGAGAGCTCAGCATGAGCCTGCAACAACGTGTAATCTAATTTCTGATGGCTCCAACCAAGAAAAGGCCCACTTATTGGAAAATGGAGCAGTTAGCAAATTGTTGATATTTTTAGTAGTGCTGGTTTAGCAGATAATATCAGAAATATTAGTAATCTGTTTCAGGATTCACTGGCTGCTCATTCCCATTTGAAACACCCCAAAACACACTATAAAATCCCCCTCAATTACTTTATGTGGGAATCCCATTTGTTTTGAGAAAATTGGAAAAAAATAGCACTGATTAAATAATTTTCTTACTCTAGGAAAAAGCCATTTAAATCCAGTAATCATAGTGCAATACTAAAAGTATATAAAGGTAAAAAGTATTCCATTTAATTCACAGTTTCAGATGTTCTGGTTACTCTGGATTATTACGGCACAAACCTTTGCCAGTTACTGACAAACTAATAACGACAAACGATAACTGTGACTATAATCCTCTCTATCCCTTCTAGTCTTTCTTCCTCTTCATTTCCTTTTTTCCCCACTTCCACTCTCCATTCCTCACTCTCCCGCTCCTCCTTCCCCGTCTGTTAATGGAGAGTTGGCAGAGAGCCAGGGGAAGCCTTGCACTGTGGGTCTTCCCTTCTTGGCAAGGCTCCCAGTGTGTGTGTGTGTGTGAGTGTGTGTGTGGGAGCGCTCTCTCTCTCATAATCACTGCCATTCAGCACCTCGTCGAAGTGTGTCCGTGTTTACATGAGAGGGGTCAGGGAGCAGGCAACAGTTCTCTCTCCTGCACACAAAACGCACAACATATACATGCACACAAACATGTGCACAAACACAGGTCAAGGAAAAGAAAAGGCACATGTTGATTAAGTTATTGATATGTTTTCTTTTATCTCAGTGTGAACTGTGCAACAGATGCAATATACGGTGGAGGTATTTGCTCATGGTAAATAAGGATTATGTACCACTTTGCAGACTGGTAGATTTTCTTGAAATTTACTTGCCATTTGTTTCTCAACTCTAGACAACAAATCAGTGTTTTGAATAAAGATTTTTTTTTGTAAAACTGACATGGTCTGCATGTGAAGCCAAACAGTTGGTCTGCTGAATGACTCAACTTCTACATTTCATCTAAAAACTAAAATGAAAAAGTTAATTGTGGTAATGTTTGAGCAGCATTTGTGATTTCAATGAAAAACGTGGAATTAAACTTTCCTCTTTGCGTGGAGAAAAAAGACAGAGGCTGTTGAAATTAGTGCTTGAACTACCTCAAATGTTCCGTCCACAGTCTGCTGGGTTGGATTTTTGGCCCTCCATGAGTTTGTCTTCAATAAGTTGCCAAGAGTAAGACACTGTCCTTTAAGGCCAAAAAAACTGGCCACTGTGAATTAGTCTACCTTGTCCGTAAAAAGCTATGTTTCCATGGTAACAGACAGTGACATGGGCTGGAGGTAAATGGATCACATTTAAATGGGGTTCTTCTCGTCCCGCTGACCATTTTACAGTTCAGGCCTCTGTTTTTGACACATTAGCAGCGTGTCTTTGTCCATACTAGCAGCACTTTACACACACACACATATTCAATAGGAACTGTGGGTGGAGGTGTGAGGAAAACCTGGTCAAAAGATCACTGGTCCTGCTGATTGGTGGACCACAGCCTCCATCTTGGTTATTTCTCTCTTTCGTGTTTTCCAATTCGGGGTCATGCAAGAAATATAAAGGGATGTAAAAATCAAAAGTAATAAAGGCATGTTGAAAACTCATAAAAACAAGCTCAAACATGCAATATTGATATTTAGTTGCCTTGGAATAACCGCTATATAAAAAAGCCTTCAACAACTAAACATATCGAAATGTGAAATAATAAAGAAATAATACTATGTAATAACAGAAGATGAATTAGAGCACTGATAATCAGTCATTCCTAAAAAAAATTGTCAATCCAAGTAAGTGTCCCTTATGTCAACAGGACTAATAAGACTGATGGGGATATATAATTACTGCAATTGTTAAATATTTAAAATGACACATTCAAAATATATCTTGTTCTATTCTTATGATATGACATGAAATCTCACGATTTTGCTATACTGACAAAATATCATGATTTATTTGGTACGTGATGTAGCTTAGACTAAGTACTTTCACAGATGGTACAGAACATGATTGTAGTCCTGATTTAGTACTTAACTGCAGTCTTTTGAAATAGCAATTGTAATTTGTTCTTTACACTATTAACCATCGTCTTATTTTTGTATCACTACCTAAACATTCTTAGACCACAGCTGCCCTTCTTTGGCTGCAGTTGCCATGGATACGAGCAGAATGCTAACCAGGCATCACTATCACCTGCTTCTCCATTGGCAATGCTACAGTCAGCTTTGTTTTACAACATGCAAGGTGTCACTTGTATCTCAGCTTGTGTCTTACCTGTCCGTGCCTTTGTGGGTACTTCAGTTAATTCTACAAAGTGAAAAACAAAGCAAAACACCACAACCTTACCTTCATGCTGTGTACAATGTTGTGAATTGACAGACTATAGAAAGCCATATATGCCTATGCAGTCATTTGAATGAAGCATTCATCTCCAATTTTCTTTGCAGAAGTTGTGCAATTTCCCAATTGCTGCAAAATTGGGGATGCCACTCTTAGCAAATTGTGGAACTTTCTTTGATTTGACTTTTTTTTAATGGTTGTGTCTCGTAGAGATGGTCCTGTCTCGTTTTTATTTTATTTTTTAAACCATGCAATCAAAGATGAGTGGATCATTTTCTAAAAATGTCTCACTTTTAACTTCAGAGATAATTTCAATGTCCTTTGGGATAAAGTATTTGGTGTGAATGAAATGTGCATGTAATTTGTTTTGATTTGTAAATTTTTTTTCTAAAAACTTAAATATTTGGCATGATGCTCATATATTTTTATCTCCATTATTGCAAGGCATGTTACATATACCAGGACTGGGAAATACCTATGTGCAAACTTCATGAATTGAGAAAATCTCAGTCTAAAATGAGGTGAAACATTGTCTGCATTGCATTGAAAAAACTGTGGAAGATTTATCTTATGTGCAGTGGGCACATGCTAGTGACACGTCACAGTTCCCAGCAGGAAGATGTACCAAAGGTTGGAACATACATTTCCCACTGACAGATTCTCTTGGCATGAAAGAATGTGGCTTGTTTCTCTCTTGCTCATTTTCTTCTTGATTTGTTTTTCTTTTTTTTTTTATCAATCTAATTACTACCCTGTGCATTGCCCCCTGAGGGCCCGGGGACCATTCTCTCTATATTTGCATGTCTGGGCTGGGTGTGTGAGCAGTTCAACTGTCAGTGTTTGAATCTCAAATAGCCCTGGGATACACTAGTCATCACCGGATGGCATCTCTGCCTCTCGTGAAAAATGATAAAACACCTTCAGCTGTGCTCTTCACTGCCTCAGAGGCAGTCCAAACGCAATTACCATTTTTCAGTGTTAAAAGAGAGTCAGGCAGAGTTAATATTCATGATCCTGGTGACTGACATTGTTTTTTAATTTTTTTTATTAACTGCTGCAGGTCCACTGGTGCCTCTTTATGTTATGTGTGTGCAAGCAGTATATCTGGGCACTTATGTCAGCCAACATGTACTGATAAAAACTCAAACAGCAAAGGTGACTGAGTGGGGCAGCAATATCTCTGCAACATGATGTTCCAGGACTCTAATTTCTTTCAAATGTCAATGACAGAACACATCTGAAAGAAAGTAAATG